TTTAGTCAGTGTATTTTTGTTTGATAGATACTGGTGTGACCTGTTTTTTTTTTTGTTATTGATTTACAGTTTTAATGCAGTTTTTATTTACTTCTTGCGATGTATCAAGTTGGTGAATTCTCTGCATTGTCGAAGCCAATGATCCTATATAGACCCCAGTGAAAGTGAGTATAGGTAGGCTATATACGTCATTTTGGAAATAATCTGAACGTATAGATACGATTATAAGGCGGCAAGAAAGCCGACTATTCACCTTATCAAATCGGTGCCGGATTTTTGCAACACTAAGGAGTTATAAGTGCGACGCCTATCTTTTGGAGACATACATTTCAAGATTTGAGGATTGGGAGTTCCTGTTTTGTCTACCCAAACCCTAACTCCCCAAGGGTGGGTCTCCGGTAACCTCAACCATGCGGCGAAACAAGGAAACGTAATGTCACGCTGATTTTCTAAGGATCCGTGATATCACTAAAGAAGCCAGTTCTTTCTTTCTTCAAGAACAACCTTTTATACTATACTATAACTACAACGTCAGACAAAACAGGAACATACTTACCCCAAGTCTTGGGTAAAGAGCTATGCTTCCATAATGTTCTATCAACCGTTTACAATAAAGATGTTAATGTTCATTTAACGAAAGAAACTACAGGTCAACCGAAACGTCATGGCTTAAAACATTTTATGTAAATCTGTGTTCATTAAACCTAACGAACGTAACAGTTGGAGGATTACGCCTGGCTCATACACTTCTATCCCTTTGCTTCATTTTTTTTCATAAATAAATTCTACAAACATTCATGTTGTGTTCGGTTATTCGTCTAAAATGGATCGCGTTCGAATTTCGAATTCGTATGGTTTTTGCTTGTGGAATTTTTGTTACGAGTGCGTGTCGAAAATAAAAGAATAGCATTTTTTTGTTATAAGACTTTTAGTAACTAAAATTGTAACAAAGTGCTAAACGTGAGAGTTTAAGGATCAGGCAAATTGTTATTGGGGTTTTTCAGTGGATTAAAAACCTGTACTGATATATGACAAAAGGAGACTAAGTAACATTATAAACCAGTGACTCTGTCCACTTCTGCGCACGGGCTACAAGTCCATCCAATTAAAAAATTGAAGATGACTAACTCCATAAACAGGTTAGTCGCATCTTGAACACCGTAACAACTTATTTCCGTTCGCTTAACTTACAAATTGCTAACGGCTGATAATGTCAACTTGCTTTTTAATTTTTGTTCGAGCAATGAATTTACTTCTAGCTAGTTAACGCTAGTTAACCCTTTTAATCATTAGATCAGATTCCTTCTGTATAATTATTGGCTAATTAATTGATACGGCGCCTTATATGATCAGTGTCCAAGCAATTTAAATTATGAATATCTAGTAAAAGGGCAGTCCGAATTGGATAAGTACGATATACATTCATCATTATCATTAGGCTGGTTTCATCCGTTGCCGAACATATACCTCTCCCATTTGAATAAAGATAAAGAATATATTACATTTACATCCTAATATAACTAATTGTTTTGAAAACTCTTGACATCGATATTGGACTGGAATATGGAAAGGATCGGATGGGAGTTGACAATCCGTTTCGGCTTAAAACCTTTTTTTATTCAAATAATGGACACCCATTTCCAAAAGGTCATATAAGTATGTAAATTATGAGGCCAATATTAAAAATAATTACATAAAAAAACAAATTACTCCGTCACACAAAAAACACGAATAAAGTTACGCTAACTCTTTTCGAAAACCACTAAAACGCAATTTAGCTTGTCAACGAAAAAAATAACCCCAAAATAATCCCATTGAACAACACCGCTTAAACAAAAGATTGCAACTAGGTAAAATTAAAATGTTCAAAGCAATTTCGTACTAATGGAGCACAGTGATTAATGTTACCGTCGACATTATTTTAATGAGGATAAATTGCATATTTAAGTGTCCCCACTAATAGCTTCCTCGATTCTTTCCCGCCTTTCTTAAGCTCGGATTAACTATCCGACCATTGAGGTCCTCGTTTGAATTTTTCGGTTCAGCGATAAGTCTTCTAAAAATAGATATCTTGTTTAATGTAGAAATAAAATGTTGTTCTTTTAATAATGTTTGGTTCTTTAATCGTTAATTGCATTTTTTGACGATATTCGTACGTGTGATTGAGTATAAGGACACTGAACAGGACGAGATCTTCAACAATTTAATTATTTTGTCTCAACTCATATACCTATACAACATTAATGTGAAGGTAACTCTTAGAAATTGTCAAACGTGCAGCCGGGGTAAGCCCAATAATGAAACTACTGCGGCCTCGGCCCGGATCAGGCGACGAAACGGGGTGATTTTTAGTCAGTGAGAGTCTGACTTTCCCTCTCCCAGGGCTGGAGAAATTACTTTATGATATTCCTCATTAAAAGAAAAAAATAATATACCTAATTCATGACATAAGAAAACCATCCCCAAGGCAAGTTCCCCAAGCCTTTCAGTGAGTATTCTCATCTGGTATAAATGCCATTTCAAAAACAAACACACACATTGTAAGTACATAAAGCTAATTCTGTAACAAACTGCTTCGAAGGCTTGAAACTTTGAGCGTAAAAAGTGACAAATTACAAGTTATTTAAAAAAGAAAGTTCTCGAAGAATGTCGGAACTTAATCACGGGGTCGATTAAAACTTTGTGATGTTGTTCAAACACCATGGGGACACTTTAAAAGTTTTTATTACTTATTGATTTATAAAGAGTTGCGTCTCAATCCTGATGCGAAGTATTTAAGTATAGTTTTATCAATTAAATTCTTTACTTCAAGGCTTTTTTGTGAGAGGAAAATCATCTAATGACTTCTCTCTCCTCGCTCGCGTAAGGCGAGAGGGAGTGCCAGACTTTTACCTAAAAGCCCCCAGTTCCATCTTCTGCTTCAGGTCAAGGCTGCAGGCACTTATTGCGCTTGTCGTAACCCTGGCAATCTGAAACGGGCCATTGGGCCTTATTGGGCCCCGTCTGTTGTAGTCTATGGGCTCTTAATTTTCATAAATATATCAAAATTATATTTTTGTCAAAAGTATGATTATCTAATCAGAATAACATATATACGTCAAACTTAGTTTCATTGTAATTTTACAGCGGTTTAGTCATTCGGTTTAATCTCAATTTTGCGATTTAACTCATGATTAGCGTTGTAATAGCAATTCCGTCAGTGCGGTTTCAATCTATTTGTATATGTAGATAATGTTATGATGCACCCAACTAGCTCATTGCTATGTAAATTGTATACCAACACCTACTTATAGTACATACAATAGTCACGAACATTATTCTCAATTTTCCGTTGTTGATCCTTTTAAGTCGAGGCTCTTGTAGATAGGACCGATACAAGTCTTTAAGCCTCCTAAATCCAAATGAAAAAAAGATTAAGACCAAATCTAATTTGGTTTCAAGCAAAACAAAATCTAAAATTACTTAACGTAATTTCACTTTAATTTATGTACAGAAAATCCTTAGATACTAATCCTTTAAATCCGTGTTCAGTAATACCGGTCCGTCCGCAGACACGGAGGATTGAAAATATTTTTTCATAATTTTAATACCGGACGTAGCAAACGAAAATCCGTCCGGAAATATTGAGTATGAACCGAAATATGCGTCTGAGTTTGCAATTTGCATATTTTATAGTAACGACCGAATGCAGTGTGTAAGCTCATAATCCAATTGAAGTAAGTGGATTTCGGTATTTATTTTCATAAAAGTAAAGATAAAAAGACCGGAATGTTAAGTATTACAATGAAGAGGAAAATGCCTTTTTACATAATTTACGCTTTGTGCCGTGTCCAACATCGGCCGACCGATGCTTGTGGAGAATTCGTTTTCAACATTTTCCGGTGAGCATTAATTGAATGGAGAACTTTTTCTCTCAATTTCTATGAAAAGCCTCAATTGATGTGAAGTGTTGTCCAATACTGACATTTTATATGAAATAAATTAAACTATAAAAGAGTAGGTCATTATTACCCGTATTAGTGTTTCTGAAACCAAACTTTACTATTTCACTTACCATCAGTGCCCATAACGCAGCTATACCTAATCACATAAGCTTGATCTGGCATGAAGCTTCTATGAAAAATGTGTATAAATTCTATGTCTAGCAGTTAAATGGACCGGCAAATATATATTGGGAAGAATGTAAAGATCATGCTCAATTTAGTAGTAAAACATTATTATCTCTTGTTCTCAAAGCAGAATAAAATTTACGTACATGTCCTTTCTGGTCCTACAGTCAACTAAAGTTGGTCCTTCCGCATACAAAAGGACCAAACATAAACTTTTGAAATTAAAATCAATGAGTTGGAAATCGTTTTGTAATAGCGTGAACGGAATCTATTAGAACTAAAATCATGTACAAGTGGCGGTTGATTACAGCACGTTCGTTCAATTAGTGGGCGTCCATTATTACTGCTATTATTTTAAAAGCATCGCCTGTTACTGGTAGAACGAATCGGACTTTAAATCTCTTTTTTTTTTCTTTCTTTCAACACGTCATTCACTTGACGTTTTTAGTGTTTTACATATGTATTATCACGTCACAATCAGTTCGCCTTTGCAGTGTGATTATATTTTTTATGACATAAACACAAAATTTATCAGTGTATAAACTTATCTGAGTTGCAATTACTATAATAAAAAAGATGACTTGTATCTCCTGTGATACATTTTGATTTTGTAACTCGTGTTGTGCCTAAACAGTATTATACACTATGTCTTCAATCTGGGTAACATTTGGTCCTGGTCTTATAAAAAGACTATCAATCTCATTTTCTTCTTAATACCACCTACCATTACTCCGCTCCATAGTCTCAATACAAAAAAAAATCCCCTTCTCCCATGAAGACATGCTAAAAGACACGTAATCTTAACATACTTGTCCAGCTTCTACAACATCAAACAATATCAATTACACAGAATTGTTCATTTCGCGTACACAAAGACCGCTCCCTAATTCGTCGAATGAACAATAAATGGTCACAGTCGACGCACGCGCTACTCATCTCAGTACACTCAAAACGATCGGGTCATGCGCACACACATTGTTACTTTAGTTCAAGCATTTTAGTAGTCGTATAACAATAGTAGCTTTTAGTTAATTTTTAATTGTGTTTTAGTGTATTTTTTTTTGTATAATTTTGTGGTTACTGATAAAATGGATTCTAAAGTGTTCGTTTCGTGTTTTTGTTTGGTGTTCGGTAAGATTTTTTGTTTTTGTTTTTTTTTATATGTATTTTTTTTATATTTGTTGTTGTTATTAGGTAATAGCTTTACTAAATAATTCTACTTTTATGAAAATATTTTGTTATCTTGCCTTGAACTGAGTTTATTTTTACGTAAAGGGGATTTGGTATTTACCTTCTACTGAAGCGATAAAAAGCTTTTAGTGTACCCGATGAAAATCAAGAACCTTTTCTTTTTTTCTATTCTGTTTTCTTTTTTTAGTAAAATAATTAAAAAAGTTGTAATGTCGTTATTGCTAATTTCATACAAAACGCGTATAAATGTATCTTTTTAAAATGAGGTACAACAACATAATAAATAGTTCTCATTATTCCTATTACATGTATGTCTTGTAGTATATAAGGTATTTTTAAAGGAATCACTAAAGAACTTCTTATTTATTTATTCTTTTAAATTTATTGTATATTCGATCCATCTGCCACTTCCACCACACTAGACGGGACGGGAGGAAGTATTAGACTCTTACTAACTATAAAACCACTCGTTCCTTCTCCTGCAACCCCCGGTCATAACGGGGGTAGGCCTGTACCTACATCGGCCCTAGTAGGCCCCACTTTTTTATGTGATAGTTCGGCAAACGAGCTGACGGTTTACCTGATGCTAAGCAATCAGCGCCGCCCATGGAGGGTGTCCATGGGCGGCGCTGACAACAACAGATTAGTTACTAGTGCGTTACCGACCTTTTGGGGATTAGGGATTAGGGAGGGGAAGATTGGGCCTCCGGTAACCACACTCACACGGCGAAACACAACGCTGTGGTTGTTTCACGCTGGTTTTCTATGAGGCCGTGGTATTACGCGAGCCAAAGCATGGCTCTCCGACACCCACCTGTGTTTTGGTGTATTTTAGGTAGTTTAAGGTCATGGTACCAAATAAACTTGAATATAGGACGTAATTATATTGAACTTTTTTGTCATGTACTTACACATCTTATAAAAAAGGCGCAAATGATATTAATTACGTAAATAAAAGAGGCATTATAAATAAGTTGGTAATATGATGTCTACCCACACTAATTAAACTTTTCATTAAGAAACATAATGAATGCGAAAGCTTATTAATTATTTAATAAGTCAAAAATATATCAAGCTAGTATTTTACAGGGCTATTCAATAAGACTGGTTTTTCAAAGACTTTTTATGGGCTTTCAGTGAAAAATTCTAGTGACAAACACTATGATTTTAAAGCTACAGAATGTGTAACTGGGTCTCCGATAACTTAACTCACACGACGAAACACAAAGCAGTGGTGTTCCACGCCAGTTTTCTGTGGAGCCGTGGCATCAATCCGGCTGAGCCGACCCATTCGTGCCAAAGTATGGCTCTCCCATATATACAATTTTATATTAATTAGACCATCATAGACACGTATACACGTCATATAAAGACAATCAAGATACGTCGTCTTTCTGGAAAAGCTTTTCAGGTAACAATAGCGGTTTCAGACGTATACAATCTTCCGCGAATTTTTTATGAAAACTTCTTGTTAGATCTGATATCGTAGTGTGTAGCTCATTGTCAAAGAAGTTCTTATTATGACAATAAGCTTTATCATACAATACAAAACACACTCCAAGCTGTAAAAAACAACAGCTCAAATCAAGAAGAATCGACCTTAAAATCATTCACAAACTCTTAGCTATTGATCTCACAATAGTTTGCCTAAAGAAATTTGTCGTCTTTTTTATTATATTTTATTTTTCTAAATAGTTATTGATTATCTTCTTCTTTTTTATTGGTTTTGGGCAACCTTCAAGCTTCATCAAATGGAAATTGACAACGGATAAAAGCACTTACATTCTCAAGCAGTTACGCAGTATTACAAAACAATCATGGTCAATCAGAATAAGCCTCGCAGGTTCACTGTCTACAAATATAGCTGTCGAACAAAGGAAATACACTATTCTCCTGCCCTTAGAAGACTTGTACTTGTTATTTCAATGGTATTGTGGGTGTCAATAAACGTCTCTGATACTTACCACCAATTTAGATATTCCATTAAAAGAAGGTCTTCTTTGAGGAGTCAAATCATTTGACACTTTCGCCACGCTATTACTTTATCACTTTTATTTTACGCCATATAGTGACTATAGGATATGCATACGCTTTGGTAAATGGTAGGGAATAGAAAGAGTCAAACTCTAAATGACTAAAATAAACCCGATCCTTCTCCTGCTGCGAGTCGAACCGCAGTGCCTCATTTCGCTTGCCTTTGCGACTCCGGCTGGGAAAGTGTCTCGTTATCAGAAGCATTATTTGGGGTTGGGTCCAGAAAATAACAATAGTTAGTCCTTATTACACGAAACTTGGTAATTATTTCAATGGATATTGTCTACACACCCCATAAAAAAAGGCTGGACAGCTTTTGGACGATTAAATCTAGGTAATATATCCATAAAACACTCAACCACGTGTCTACAGTTTAAATTTGTGAAAATTAAGTGCCATCTCCGATTTGCCGTAAAAACGAAAAGGGTTACCTTCAGTGCTTCTCATAAATTACGACTAAACAAACTGTCGCTGCTTTCCTATAAATCTTTTCAATACGTTTTTCCAGTTAGGACGCTATTGATCTAGACTAGGACGTAAAGGTTTTTGCGAACTATCACGAGTTTTTGTTATTATTATTATTTCATTGATGACATATCTTTCTAGGAAACGAAATACCTACAGAACGATCTGGAAAATTCTGTTCAATTTCCATTGTCATAACTTTACTCTGACTGAAGCAAGGAACTTAATTCCAAATTTGATCTATTACTATATTCACGACTTTGTAACGATTACCCTGAAAATGACATTGTAGATTTTATTGTAGTCAAGTTATAGGTAACCACAATTTTTTTTCACGTCAAAATTAATTACATGAGCGAATTTAATCTTTCAGCGAAAGAATTCTATGAATTATGTAAAGTTTATTTTTAATTAATATTGTATGTAGGTACACAAGAGGCAGAAACCTCTACAGCATAAAATCCCGCATCACTAATGGACAGTTGCATATTTTTTCCCATCAGCATCGCTCGGCGTCACCGCCACCGCACATGTTTAATAAACGCCAATTAAAATCAATTATTTAATATCATACAAGGCAATGAAAGGACATAATGCCCGTTTTATGGCGTCCTTAATAAATACTCATGGATAAATACCAAGTACCTACTTAACCAAAATAGAATGATGAATAAAATTTCTTTTCGCGTCAAAGTATTTTTTAAGTCGTAATGTCGAGGCCCCTTTTGTTAGAAGAAAGTCCTCCGCTCATTAGAAGCTTCCTTTTTCTAAGTGACTAGTTCTTTTATCCAAAATGAGACAAGATTTCGACCCTACAAAGTACAATTTGATGTCTACTCTACTTCCCGTCGCAATTAGTGACATCTCTGCTATAGATACCTACTTATTTACCCGTAAGGAGTCGTTACTCGTATTTGAAAAATATCATTAGGAACGAATATATAACACTGAAATATGTGGTTTGCTACAAATATCACCTTTATACCACATTTTTGTTTGTGTCGGGGCTGCGGGGTAAGCGCAATGAGGCACCGCAACCTCGGCCCAGAGCAGGAGAAGGAACGGGGGGGTTTTTAGTCAGTAAGAGTCTGACACTCTCTCTCGCCTTACCCTGGGCGGGAGAAGTCATTGGATGATTTTACCCTGACAAAAAAGGGGTCATATGTTATTGATGCGGTTGTGGTATGAAAAAATCTGATTATAATAATATGTTTGATGCGATGACTAAGCGATTGACGGCTGTCAGTCGCATCACGAATTTGATCCCCAGTAACAAGCTTACCAAGCTTCGGCACGAATAGGTCGGCTCGACCGGAGTGATACCACGTCCTCACATAAAACCGATGTTGACCAACCACAGCGTTGTGTTTCGCCGTGTGAGTGAGGTTACCGGAGGCCTAATCCTTCCCCCTACCCCCCCCCCCATCCCTTTCCAATCCTTAAATGTTCGAAACCTTAATCCCTAAAAGTCCGGCAACGCAATCGTCATTTCTTTGACGTGTGTGTTTTGTGTTGTTAAATTTTATGTTTTGTGGCGTTAATTGCTAACCATCAGGTAATCCGTCTGCTCGTTTGACGGCTTACCATAAAAAAGAAGAATATTAAAAAAAATGTCATAGGTTAGCGATCAAGCAGGCGGGTTACCTAATGGTAAGTAATCGGCGCCGCCCACGGACTGGAGACTCGTAATAGCAAAAGAATTGATACTAGTGCATTGCTGGCCTCTTGTAGGCTATTAGTGATTTAAGGATAGGGGATTTGTGGATTGAGGATAGGTGTGGAAAAGATTTCGCACCCCAGTAAGCTCACTCACACGATAAACATAATTAACCTGCTCATACTGATAACACTTTGTCCGACCCAGGAATCGAACACGAAGACGAGACACGAGACTGTTAGGCAGTCGAACGAAACAAAACCAAACCAAGACAAGGCCAACGATAAACTAATTTGTAATAATAACATAATAACAGATAAACATATACATACACAAGTTTCTGAAACTAAAACACCATTAAAATAATTTTAACACCAAAAGAACATTGTTAACAGCATATTAAAACAAGTCATAATCAGTAAGGGTGTAGCCGAATCATTTAAAAATACTTACTATCTAATTGAAACAGTCAAGCGACGAGAACAAACAGACACTATCTAACCGGTTGGTCTTAAAGAGGCTCTTAATTCGCTCAATTGGACGGTCACGTCTAATGCGTAATGTAGCATATTTGGAACGAGGAACATGATATGCGTGGAGGAGAAATTTTTAGCTTCTAGTCCTTTAGGGGAGCATTTTTGTTAATAGATAATGCGGGTTTTATATTATGGATGCTTTTGTCAATACTATTTCAATTGTATATTAAAAAGGGTGTGAGCAAATGTGTGCGGGCTCAACCAGAGTGATAACAAGGCCTCACAGAATACAGGCGTGAAACAGGACTTACATACGTTGTGTTTCATAAATTGCTACACACATGACTACAAAACTCGGAACAACCATATGCGGAGGGTCTTACTCCTGAATTGCTAAATCTTCGAAATGGCGAAATCTCCATGGCGGCGCCGATATCTAACCATCTGGTAAAAACTCTATTGGTTTGCCGACCTATCACATAAAACGAGGCAGTTATAAAAAGAAAATTTAAAAACATGGCGACGGTGAATCATACACCATAGTTATAATACGTCCATGCGACGAATACATTCAAGGAATACTAAATCATTTCTGTCATACATGTTCATATACCTATCAACACACAAAGTCAGCTTACGTGTTCAAAACAAATGACTGACGTAAACCAAAACACACACACGATATTAATGAGAGTCTCTCCCCTCGACTTAGAATAATTTGTTATATTTAAAAAAACAGGAAAACATAACAAGAACTCCTTTGAATAGGGTGTTAAGTTGTACATTTTGAGGGCACAATAGAAAAATTAACATTATACGGGCTATATCGATTATGCTTATTGCATTTGACAGCTTAAATCAATGTAAAATGAAGACTATTATCACAGTATAAATATCATACAGTATTTTAACTCGGCCGCTTGAAAGAAATAAATACCTACAGCCGCGCGGTACGTAAACATGCGTTAGGGCTGCTCGTCTCCAGTATTTTAATTACCTTTGTCTACTTTCTGTTTCCATTTAGTTTTGTGATTGTAAATATTCTTTTTTTTATATAAACAAATAAAGTGCTTTAAAAATAAACAAACAAAATTTCTTTGGCCACTAATGCCGAACTGAACAGCTGACTACGAATGTTCTAAAATCACAACCCTCAAACATCAAAATATTACATGAGTCTAGCTGTTTTATTGTTGTTATTAAATATTTTCTAGTATTATTCATAAACGCAGATAATAAACAAATATTATTAATAATAAAATACCACACTCTCTACTTTGAATTAAACAAACTAACAAACCATACATGAACCGTTTTAACACAAGCGTAAGTAGGTAGGTAAATAACGTATGACGTCATGATTCATTCAGAACCAGAACCGCCTATAACTACCTATTTCACTCGTCTCAATAACTTTATTCATATTATTTATAAATTCAAACATCTGTTTTCGTGAGATAACTGGAAATAATGATCCATAAAGACACACATTATGTACCTACCTAGGCTACTAGTAAGTAAAATTATTTTATAGTCTTACCTTTCAGAGTTTCCAGGTAATTTAAAAAAAACTTATGTCTGGATGCGTTATTGACGAATTCATGCAACCAAACATAATAACAGCACAATATTTCCTATTCGTCATATTAAATAATGTACTCGAGCTGATTTCTAAATAAAAGACAACACACCGTCCGTTCGTCACTGCGGTACAGCCGCGTCTGTCTGCGTCCCGAGCGCGTCCCAACATCGGGCGCGTAGGTATAGTTCGCGTTTCGGCCGTTTCTATGAAGTTGAAATACTTGTAGATATTATTACCTTGCTATTATCGTCTGTACACAACGTGATTCTATTTTTTTGGTGTTGAATGTGATAAAAAAGTCATTTTGAAAAGGTCAAGTTTATTTGAAAACAATATTTATCGTGGTCTTTAGGTACAAATATCGTCGTTTTAATTTTTATTATAATTATGACTTAGATAAAATTAGATTAGCTGAAGATAGGCTCATTGACACACACTTCTACACATTTGATAGACAAACACTGTACCTCCAATTCGTTTTCTTGTCTTCCAGATGGCACTAATCTTACACTATTAACCATAAATCAACCATAAATTATTTCGATTTTTTGATCACGTGTTGAGCCTTCTGTGTATGTGTGTAAATGGTACCAATATAAGCTTTATAACAATTAATTAATTGCTACATTGTTACCTCTTCATATAAACGGACCATCGCTCGGTATAAAACCTGTACAGTCTGTCTAATCAAAATCAACGTAACTGTCAAAAATTTAACGTTCAATTGATATGGAACTCCCATAGAACACTAGCTAATTCTCTATTGGACAAAAAGACAAGAGATCCACATTGGCTCCACCTGGTGTACAAATACGTAGTCCATTGTATAGGAGGTAGGAGCTTCATAGCCCAACGGATAATTGTCACGGGCTGTTGATGCTGAATGACATTGAAAACATCCATTAAAACATAATATCTTAACAAAGCAAAAATCTAATTGAATTTTAAAACACATAATGGATGATGGATGTAAACGAATAGTTCAGCTGAACAGGTACCTACCACAATGTTCTCCCAAACAACATTTGGACCTGTTTATTTAAATAAAACTTTATTAGAATTAAAATATAAAATTCATGAGTTTAAAAAAAGAACTTCAACGTTCCAAGAGCTACAGCAAATGTAGGTAAGGTTTTTAAATAATATTCAAACATTCATACTGGGCTTGGATCCACACAACGAATTTATCATTGAAGTACAACGAAGGTATTTTAAATTAAAGTTTCGTAGAAATTTTCACAAAGCAACTTTTCTAACAATTTTTATTTATTATTTTGGTTCGCAAACTGAATTTTGTCACAGTGCTACTGTTATAATCATGTGTTCGATCGTGCATTTAAATTAATGACGCCGTGCGTGACTTTACACTTTAAAATTGCTGGCCATGCATTCACGCTGATTAATTGTTTAATTTACTTTTGAATATGGAATAATTTTCTCGTTCACAACTACACAGAAAAGGTTGAAAAAGGTGAAACGTTTTTGTAAAGAAAATAAATGTAATATTGCGTTCGTACCTAGGTACGTTCATGCCGTTTCATTTTCAATTTAACTTTTTGCCAAACTTCTAAGAAGGTAACGCTTTCCACGTAAGTAGCTGTTTGTGTATTGAGGTAAGCGTTCGATATTTTTGTGACGTGGGTTGGCAAATAATAACTTTTCAGTGGCAGTTAGGTAAATAGTTTTTAAATGAAAAAATAAATCAGAATTTCTTCTTTTTATAAACGAAAAATAAGGAAAAAAGTAGAAATATTCACTTGTGCATACTGCCACGCGTTTTATTTTGAAATTAGAAGAATATTACAAGTTTATTGGCAGTCTTCTTCTGGTAGATTACAAAAAAACTTAAAACCTTTAAAGAATCGTCGAGAACGTCTCCTTACATAACAATAATATTGCATTTTAAGCCATATATGTTCTAAAACTACTATCCCAAAAATAACTACCAGCAGGGTTAAGGAGCAAGCGTACCTTATAATGTAGGTACCGCGGGACCGGTCTGAAGCAGGAGAAATAACAGGGGATTTTATTCCGTGGAAATCTGACACTCTCTCTTGCCCCAACCAGGGCGAGACTAAGTTATGTAATCTTCTTCTTATATATAAAAATAGATCGCAAAATGTGTTGGTAAGCGCATAACTCAACAACGCCTGCACCAATTTTGCTAATTATTTTTTTGTTGTGTTTGTTATTGTCAGGAGAAGGTTCTTATCAAAGAATATAGATATAGTAGCGAGATAGTTGGACCCTTGCGAAGCGGGGGCGGGCCGCTAGTTAGAAATAAAATCGGTATATGCATTATGCATTCCGTATACATACTACATACACTACTTATATTGAACGGTGTATGGTGATCGACGACGCCTGTGGAGTATTATAGTCTTCAACAAATTTTTGGCGGCAGTTAAAAGAACCTTTTCAGTATATTTGATTAAGGACTCGGACGAGAAGCCTTAGACGAACAGTAAATGAGCAGTAGACTTAGGTCTTAACAGTCTTTCAATTCCTATGTTCCAGTTACTGTTGGAGCCATAGAAATGAACTTAACGAACGAGTGGAAGCAAGACATTGGATGGGAGATCTACTGTTCGTGGAAGATTCCATTTGGCGACTCCTTGCAGTCAGTTCGGTTGTACCAAAACAATCAGCAGTTCTTGATATTTAGACCTGAGGTGAGTTCAATAAAGGTTTTGGATGAAATTGTGAGAGATACATGCTTCGTTATAAATGAGTCAGCTTGATTGGAGTGATATGATGGCCCTCACAGCAACACAGTGAGTAAGTTACAGTAAGAAGGCCCAATTCCATTCCCCCTCAGACCTCTCAATATTCAAATCCCTAGTCCCTAAAATGGCCTAAAGGTCCGGCAGCGCCGACAACTTCATCAGTTCATAAGTCTGCTCGTTAACCTAATAATTAACCAAAAAAAAACATATATGAAGCCACGCCTTTAACTTTATGTTTATGTTTACATACGGTGAGTGATGATGTGTTAAAGATATACATTATACATAGAAGATCTCTGTCTCAGTCATAATATTTAAAATAATGTAGGTATATTTTATGTACATTGTTGATGTACATTATTAATTTTTTTTCTTAACACTTTACGGTCCTTTACCTACTCCTTCAGATATTTAATCTCTGACAAAAACTTACAATATATGTAACATCCACTTTTTGTCAGTTAAGCCCCATTTAGACGATGCAAGTTTCGTGTTGTTAATATCAACCTTAAATGTTTAACATCAACCTGAACTAGGTGCAAACCTGTGTTTCAGGTAAAAAAGTGCTGACATACTTCTACTACAATATTATTGCTTATCAAACTAAACTTATGAAATAAACCAATTAATTTAAATAATTAGTATCTAAGTGTTACAGGTGCGCGTGTAAAATTACATAAACAGACGTCAGCTATTATTATATTATTTGCAAACCTCAAGTAATTCCTCAGTTTGTTCATATGTTAGGGTGTGTATATAATCAGTTAATACTTTTTTACAGCGATAATGGTTAAGGCTATAAATACTTAATTGTCTATTTATTCTATTGTACAAAAATGGGCCTAGGAAAATGAAGAATCTTTTTATAAAGGCGTGTTTTGACACTGATGTTGAATTGCAAACTATGTCATTCCGTCTTTTGTTAGTAAAATGATTAGTATTGAAGGTGAGTAATGAGTGCTGTTTACGTATTAATTGTACTATGTAAATTTGGCGAACAGTTAATACATTGCAGGTTTTATATAGAATTGATGTAGGGAAAAGAAAAGGAAGGGTAAATGCTACTTTAAGGATAGCCCTCTGAGCACGTTCTAGAGGTAGAATAACCGTTTTTGATGCACCGCCCCATGAAGTGATACAATACTGTATAATAGACTGACATAAGGCTTGGTACACTTGTGTGATTAATTTCATGTCGCCGATGTATCTAATTTTTTTGAAAACGTGCATCAGCTTTCTGACTCGTGATACCAGAATGCTAATGTGCTGTTTGAAGCAAAGAGTTTCATCGAGTGTGATGCCGAGATATCTGATGGATGTAGTTTTTAGGATACAAGGACAGTTACATGTACCCGCCAGTTTATTTATACATTTATGTGCAAATAATTCAGGTATAATGGTGGAATCTGGTATCTTACGCATAGAAAATTGAATAAATTTTGTTTTGTCTGCATTTAATGTTAGTAGGTTAGAACAAAGCCAACTATTAACCGAGTTAAAGGCCAATTGAGCGTTACTGTATAATTCAGAGTTATTATTGGACGAAAAAATTAGAGCAGTGTCATCGGCGTATGATATTAGTTTCCCATAATGCATTTTAAGATTACACAGATCGTTGATGTATATTAAGAATAAAGTAGGACCTAGTATACTCCCTTGAGGCACTCCATACCTAGTGGTTTTCTAAAATGAACTTAATACATTATCTATTTTAACACATTGATAACGGTCATCGAGATATACCTATGCATTCCAACTTCTTTAGAAGCAGTGGAATAGACACAGTATCAAAAGCTTCGGCAAGATCAATAAAGATTCCCAGCACGTGGTTGCCTTTTCCCAGTTCTTGTGATATAAAATCTGTGAGTGTATTTACTGCATCAGCTGCTGACAAATTTGCTCTAAAACCAAATTGCAATGGTGACAAGATGTTATTTTTATCGAGGTAGTTTTTTAATCTAGTGTTTATAATTTTCTTGAGAATTTTGGATATTGAGGGCAGTAGTGAAATAGGTCTATAGTTATTTACTGACTCCTTATTACCTGATTTGAATACAGGAACAACTACTGCCTTTTTGAGACATGTCGGAAAAATGCCCTTAGAAAGACACTCACGAAAAATATGCGTCAGTGGGGGGACAAACACATGCTTATAAGTTTTAAGGACTCTATTACTGATGCTGTCACAACCAACTGCACAATTATCCTTCAATCCCGTTATAATTCGAGCAATTTCATATTCGTCTGTGTCTAATAGAACAAATGATTTTTATGTATAATTGTTTGATTGCAGATAACTTGTATTTGTCCGATTTTGAGAGTATGACTGTAACTGTGTAGCAAGATTTTTACCCACATTTAGAAAGTAGTTATTTACATTGTTAGCAGACAAGTATGATGACGATTCGGTATGTAGTAAATCTGAACACGATTTTTTTTGTTTGTTTTGTTGTATAAGTTACATTTTTTATGTGCTCCCACAGCTTTTTACTATTCTTCCCAGCCTGCTGCAATACGCTTTTGTCATAATCAATTTTTAAGTTCTTCAACAGTCTATTGCAAAAGTTTCTGTATCTTTTGTAAGTTAATTGTAAATCAAAATTATCTGGAAAACGTTTAGCTCTATGGTGTAGTTTATCCCGATGTCTGATACAGGCGTAATCCATGGTTTTATGTTGCAATGTCTGTTTTTTGTTTTTACTGTTGTTGTACTCTGCAAAATTGCTTTTTCTACATTATTAATTAAATACGACATTGACGCATTAACATCAGCAGAATAATAAATAGGAGCGAAGTCAATGTTGCGCAAGTCATGTTCAAATTTGTTTATGTGAAATCGAGACTTAAATTGACGATGATTATGCTTCGGTAGCGAGATGTTTAATATTAGTAAAACAGCATGATGATCAGTTAATGTAGAGTTAGTGACAAGGCTAATATAGTTTGAGTTAGATTTTACCATCATATGATCCAAACAGGAACCTCTTTGATGTGTTGACAATTTATGAGCTGCTAAAAGTCCATGATATGCACATAAGTTGAGATAATCCTGTGTTCCTGAGTCATAATTCTCGGAATTTATGTTAATATTTATATCACCGGTTAGTATAATATTTCTAAATGAGGTTAGTGTTTGACATGTCTGATTTAATGAATGAAGAAACGAGTCTAAGTTTCTGGAGGAAGGTGGTCTGTAAATAGCTATTATTGCTGTAGTTGTATCAACTTTAATGACCAAGCAATTGCATCCTGGGTTTTTCTACAGTAATTTTTAATGCGTCTTTAGTATAGATCACCACTCCTTCGTTTTGGCTTGTATTTACAGTATTATAGTTTAAGTTATAACCCTGAATAGTGGGCAGGTTATCGAATCTATTTGTTAGCCAACATTCTGTTAGAATGATAATGTCACAGGTAAAGTTAAGCCTCTCTAATAGTACATGGAAACCATCTATATTTTTATATATACTACGGATGTTCTGGGTTAGAATTGTTAGCGAATTTGGAATATTGGACATATATTTTTTGCAATTTTCAACTTCACAAAACTTGCTTATATTTAAGAAAGAATTATCTATTTCATTTATTAAGTTAATGGCCATAATAAGTTAACTAATTAGAACTAAAAATAGAAAAATAGGTGGCGCTCTTAGGCGCCTTCATAATTTACGGAGTTGATGTACCTGTTTTCGGCTGCTTTTTTGGCTGGGCAAATTTAAAAGTGATTCAATGAACCCAATTTGACGCAGTAGCAGTGAACAAAACGGTTCATAGGTACATCAGGTAGCGTATTACTGGGAATTATCTCATCCTTCCGGCCCTAAACGGATCAAAATGATTAAATTTTTGTTTACAAAAGGCAAAGGTCAACCACCAAACATCCTGTAACAGTCCTCTTTGTTAGATGGTTTACAAATTAAAATTAAACTGGTTTTTAGCAATCGTCTTAAATTAATTGTAGGTAGCCGTATCGGAGATTATAATATTCAAACTTGAATAGGTTACCGTGTTAATAATGCTCTACAGTTTATAACTAAGAACCATTGGTTGGTTCTAGGTCAAAACAAATAATTTATAGGTACTTATAAAACCATAAATAATCACAATTTTATTAATAAAAAACCAAAATATGCAAAAATAGTCACAATTTTATTAATAAATACGATATACAGTGATAACTATACTTTATTCGTATTTATCTAGGCAACTCAAGACAAATAAGTACGCTATTTCATATCAACATTCATAGAAAGATGAATATGTCGTTTTTGACATTTCAAAAAAAGTTTTGAATTACTTAGACTATTTGGAAACTACCTTATTGTACCTAGCAAACTAAGGACCCTATTCTTCCCTCACTCGCCGTTTGATGATGACAACAGCACAATCCTCATCCTTTGAAAAACCTGAACCTTTTAAACTTTCTAATGAAGCGCTTGGTTCCTTTACCTGGTGAACGCCCTAGGCAATTACCTTATTGGCACCCCTATGCAATCCGAGCCTCTTTCCCGCTTATTAGAACGCATAACTACATACATGGCTCCCCTACGCAACCTGGCCCTTGCCTAGTTTGCTTTAAGGATTATACGACTTTGTTTATAAGAAACTATAATTAAGTATTTTTTCCATATTATCTGCTACGAATAATGGCATGCATTTTTCTTACCAATTATATTTTATTTGCTTACAGACAGATGGAGATAACCGCGTCTTAGTTTACAGACGTCTTGAAGATGTCCTAACAACAAATTGTGCGATTTCGAAAGAAGAGAGGCAAATGGGAACTTGCGTATTAACTTCTGAACTGTACCAGCCACAAAGACATGGCTTTGCAATTACCTGTGAGGTGTCGGGAGAAAGGCCTTATTTCAGGATGGAAAATAAAACTATTTTTATTGATAAGTATGGTAGGTTAACTGTTCAATTAATTTAATTAAGTGTATACCCGTTAGCAAAATTTATGACTCTCATAGAGTAGAAACTACATTGTATCTACATACGGCTACACATTCACATTATTAGCGTATACTTTTTTTTTTGTCAGGGGAAAATCATAGCCTATACCTAAGTACATAAGTGTTACTTGTAAACAATACCTAATGGGAAGGCAGACACCGTGACATAACTTTTCGATCTCCATACCATAAATAAAGCTAATACCTAGTAATATTTTTGTAAGTAAGTAACCTATATATTTTTTTTCAGTTCCACCTACTGACGCGACGTTAAGGGTCGTGTCCCAGAATAAAGATACGGGTCGTGTGACCTTGAACTGCACTTCCAGTGGTGTACCGGGCCCTAATCTAACGTGGACCATTCATGGTTTACAAAACGTACGTACCTACATATGTTCCTTCAAATGATCAAATTCTTGAAAAGTCATTCATCTTCGTTGGGAAACCCAATCTGATAATGATGCACTGCCATGGACGTCATAGTTTTGAGGGTTTAGTCTGTTTAGTTTCTGACAGTTCTAACGGTTGCGTGCTTGGGCCCACAAAAAAAACATCGTGGCTCTAGTAGCTCTATCTTGCTTACTGCCTTAACACGGCACTTAGAATAGATACAAGATATAAAAAATTACCAGCGCGCACGATAACGACATCTCTCTTTGACCTGGCTTCCTGTTTCGAATTAAAACAGTCAGTTACATTAACTGGCTTCATCCTTTACTTAGTAATGTGGTAGTATGAACTAGTTTCGATGTTGCAGCTTATGCATACGAACTCCTGTCAAAAAGTTTAGACTAAGTTCTAGCTCTAAATTACAGTCCCTAATGTTTAATTAAATTTGAGTCCTAAGTAATTATTCCACTTTAATTTTAGCAGTAAGTAGCGCTCTTTGATGCATCTGACCCTTTTAACTTAGATCTATAACCCAGCAGTTCTAAGTATGGTAGCCAAGCATGAACGTTGTGCCAAACCTTTCGTATAGGTCCGTAGTCTTAAAACACTAACCAAGGGTAAAAATAAATATGTATTTTTCTTTTTTTTTCAGATCCCTCACGACTTCACCGGTGGCGCTTGGAACGCGACATCTAAACTATGGGATGTTTGGTCCGCCCTGTCTTACACATCGTCTGCAGAAACTACTGCAGTTTGTACGCCAGAGGTCAGCACTGCAGGCAAGCTGGTTAAAGGAAAATCTGCTCAACATAATTCTGCAGAAAACTTCAAAGGTAAGTTTCAATTTTCGGATTGGTAGGCAGATCTCTAGAAAATATAGCAATCGGTTTCGAGTAACTTACATAATATTGTATTTGAAATCTTCGAAATTCTCCAGTCTTAAATTCTGGTCTAACGTTATTTAAGACAATACAGAAAAAAAATTGTAACTTGCTTCAATCTGCGTTCTACCACGTTATACCACTTGTTACACGGATTAATTCGTGAAAGGGCCGGAATATGATCGTATAGACAACAAAATAGTACCGAATTCGGGTGATCTTATGCGTAAAGGCTGTTGAATTTATTGTCTTTCTTTTTGATTTCAGGGCTTATCACACTCGTCATTAGCACATTACTATCTCTAGCACTTATAAGATGACCACTACAGGAGTAAACGGCGAATACTTAATGAAACCAAAAACTTTGATTTGTTCATTTTTATTTCGGCTGAGTATCGTTGTAAACGATTGATTATTATATTTCAAAGCTGCAGTTACAATAGGTAAACCAAGAATATCTATAAAAATAAACCAACAAATATTCTCATATTTTTAAACAAAATGGCGGAATGACATATGCGCCTATCAAATTGATAATGTCTACTTGTCAATATGACAGCTGCACACATTACCTACAGATAATAAATCTATTGGTTAATTTTGCAACAAATCTAAGACTGAATATTTATGACTTACTCGCTGTTCAAATTATTTTATTTCCTTATGACGGAATAAATGCGTATTTTATGAGGCGACCAATGTATGTCTAATGTTTTCAGGTTTTAGCTCGCGACTTACTTATTGTAACTTCAGCCATATTTTACACATATTTTGGCTCTTTTTAGAGATTCTTACATGTTTTACATTTTATAATGTAGGTTACCATTATATTAATTTTCTATTACAGATAATAATTGAAATTCATAGTATATTATGCACTTACAAAAACCTACTTATTAAATGAGAGGAAGACCTTTGCCATTTATGTGATGTATTATAATTATTTTTATAACATGACAAATTGATTAAATGGTAAAAGTCCCCCGCAATGAATGTACGTGCATTTCACAATATTTTTATCAATAAAATCGTGACTATACAATTGTAAATAAATTTTGGACGTAATATTTCATCAAATAGAAGGAAAGTTTATAAGAAAATAATAAATTTAGCACCTCAGAGGCACTGGAAGGATAGATACGAATAAAAATACGTAAAAAATATTGTGACTAGGTCAAAAACATTTACTTGCTTGCAAAAGAAACAGCACCATCTGAATATTTTTTATAATACATTATTAAATTATTTCTAAACTGGCTTTCCATTGTTAATTTTGGCAAGTTTTTAATACTGTGTGAATTTTGCAAGCAAGTTTGCGTAAAGAAAATATATTTTTAAGCAAAGATTTGTAGGTAGGAACGTAATTTGTAGTTGATATTGAATGACAGTGTAGTTTATGTATAGTACAGATTTATTAGTGTTTTTATTATATATTAAAATTACTTGTTTTTTTATAATGTGACGAAGCCAGTTGTTAGCCGCCCACCTATTTTTATTCTTGATGTAGAAACATTCCTTTTTTTGTTTTTCAGTTATGCTAAGGGACCAACAATGTTATATTTTAGATTTGGTTTTTGAACTATATGTGTATTGAAATATTTACAGAGAGCGACAAAAGTAACTTTTTTTCATAATGTAAACAATACACTGTAGCTATTTATAACAATAAATTTTATTTGGTCTGATTTCAAATTTTGGACAATAAACAACAAGAAAACTTTTTGTATGTTTTACTTAAACTAGAAGCACTTCTATGATAGGATATATGAGTGAGCAAATTGTGGAAGTATTTTTAATTATTATTTAGATTGATTCCAATACTAAATATTACATATATATTTGATTTAATGGACTACTTGACTTGGTAAAAAACAGTTTCGTCTTTTAATGCAATACAATTAAAAAAAACATACTTTAGTATTTTGATTTTACCATGTCTATGCACTAAATATTCGTAATCAAGCTAGTTTTATTTTATGATATTAGATGCAACAGTAACATGGCGATACAACACTTAATCCCGCAAAAACATTTAAATCTAAAAAAAAGGATTTATGGAAAATATACTATTAATAATTCACGTGAGTATGTCATTAATAAAAAAAACATTAAATCAATCCAGATAACAAGTAACCAATTCAGTAATAAAAAGTGAGGACTTTTACAAGTTTTAAAGGTTGTATTTTTAAAATATTTTTCTAATTTTTTTGAAGGTTTACGACTAACAAGTAGGCTCTTTCTTCATTGTAATATGAATTAATACAACATGTTATAATGAATGACTGATAAATCACGACCATATTTTCTAACGATGATTATTATCACAGTGCCATCATTCTTTGTTATAGGAATCTCACTGTACTCCAAGTTCAAATGAAATAAAATATAGTCATTTTTTTATTGTGTGTCGAGAATAGTTCGAAGAAGACTAGTTTCCATGATTATTTTCTGTGAATGAGGGTGGATTTGTCTTCTTCACGACGAGGCAGTTCTGTGACAAAAGTGTATTCCACAATGATAAAAGGCAATCTATGAACAACAGAGGCAATATGTAACTTATATCAAAAAAGTTTTTACAGAATCAACAAAAAACAAAGTAATATTTAATAAACTGTGCCACTTTAAAAGACTTTTTGGCTTCTATAAGCGGTCTATGATCAAATTAACTTTGTTTAACCCTTTACACAATATTTTATAGAATATTGAACTAAAGGGTATAGTGATATTCCTAAGCCATACAAACACGTCGATATCTCTCAGTCGCCCCGCCTAGCGAGGGTATACAATAGTACCTAACTACGTACGAAGTTACAATGGAGGCCAAGATAAGACACTACATACAATTTTATTAATACTTTTTCTTGTTCAAATGATATGAGAAATACTTTAGAGTTGGGTTTGTTAGTGCACATTGTATTGAGCAATATTGATCGGTAGGATAGTCTTGGGCACTGCAATCCTCGAATGAGTTAGAAGTGCGTTGCTGGCCTTTGCAAAAGAGGAGGAGGTTTTAATACGCAGCTAGTAGCTAGTATTTTATGGTTCTAGTAGGTATTTAAGCAGACTATTCCGGCCCTTATCTCATGCTGCTTATATTTATTACGTGTTTTTTCGAATTGATATAAGGCCAATCAATATTTATACTATACACTTCGAATTAAATTAGAAGTTCTCTAAGCCCATTTACATAAACATAACATCGATAGTCAACAACAGTTTCGTATATTTAACGATTTAACACAACACATTGTGCACTAACAAATATTTAAAAAGAAGAATGGTTGCTTAAAAATAAATATACATACAATATACATAGACACATTTTTACAAGAATAACAAAATTAAATTAAACCCTAATAAATGCAGTGTAAATCTGGCACAGAATTATAGTAATTATAATAAATGCATTAAAATTTCTTAACTTTAATTAATTAATTATTATTTTATTATTATTATAATAAATATAATTAAACTACTCTCACTTGGCCTGGAATGTTTTGTGCGAAAGAAGTCGATATTTATTATTACCAATTATTTTTAAAGGTTCATTTGTGTCGGTAGAGGCGCTAGTGTCGTTTAAGATCTCTTTACCAATAGACTTGTTTGTTACTAACAGATAAGGATATTGATCTTTCAGAACCTTAGCGCCAACTAACGAGCGGCAAAAACTAACCTTTTGAATTTGAATTCACTAATACTATATACCTTTTAAACATTATCCCCCTTCATACAAAACAAGACTTTAGTCTCTGATTAAACCTTTGAGTCAGGTTTTGTATTTTGAATCTTATTATCACCTACTTTCAATTTAAAATACAAAAACTGACTCAATGATTTAGAACTAGACTAAATAAAAACCTTGTTTCGTAATAGGGCCGTATAGGGAAATTTGTTAAATGGGTATTAATAATTTTGTCATGTCGATATGTTCGCTACAAATTTACTATTGGTCCTGAGAGAATGTAGAATCATTTATACAGTTAAATAATAATATAATATTGACAAATGTAGTTTATATTATTGTCATAGATTCAGGGCAATAGTGTAAAGCGTCAAGGTCACTTTCAGTGAAGGGTTTTTAAAGTGTATAAATATGTGCTAATGTCAAGTCATCAGTGATAAGGCTTTTAAGACTTTAACCATCACTAACGCCATCTTATGTGCCTTTTTTGTATTACTAAAACCACTCAATGACGCCCTTCTTATTGGTGAAATTTATCGAATGCTTCTAAGTTTGCAACCAACATATCAACATACATTTTAATAAACCAAATTTTATTATATTTTATCTACGTTTAAAACAAAATAAAGGCGGAAACACATTGTGTGGTGAAATGTATCATAGGTATAGATCTCAAAGATTTACTATGGTTAGAGACACATTTGTGTGTCGTGTCGTGTGGCGCGCTATCAAAGGGATCGTTCATAAATTACGTGAGATGATTAACGGGGAAGGAGTCCAATCAAATCTCATCTAATCACACATTGGGTAGAGGGTGTCTTGACAAACATCACGCACTTTTTTCAAAAAAACACTCCAAACAATTCAGTAATTAGGTATTGTTTTGTATTTTTTTTTAACTCTGAGCATCATGATTACTAGTCGTAACGCGTTTAAGTAAGAAACCAACATTCTGAAAAAATACGTGAGATTGGGTTATTGGGTACAGGGTTGGACCAAATGTCACGACATCTTTCCAAATGTCGTGACATTTGGTCAGGACATTTGGTAGGGAGGGAGGGATAGAACAATTTAAAGGCACCTACGTTATTTAATGACGCCCCTAAATATATGAAACCGTGTGTTCTGGCGCGCCAACACAATAAATTTCCACCAAACAATATTAAACAGAAAAAGTCTGTACTCGTCATATTTTAAACTATTCCTTTTTTAAAACCTCCTTTCCTCATTCCTAAAACTTATTACGAATACCATTTCTGTCCCTTAACAAGGGACAACCATACACTTTCTAGCCAGTAAATTTATTATTGAATCGATTAATACATAGATACAATATATAATATACTTTAAAGTCATAACTAGCACATTTCAACACATCTATGAGTGATATTGACTAGAAGTAACTACTTATTTATCTAAAAATTGTATTATTTGGCTAATTGTAAAGATTCATTTTATTTTATTCAAGTCACTACGATTCAGATCACTCGATAATCATCCGAATAAACGTCTTTCATTTGAGAAAAAGTCTTAAGTTTATTTATTGTATACTTTTTCATGGCCGAATGTATAATCAACATTCAATTATACTAGAAAGCATTTTATATGCAAACCTTTAACTGTTCAAAATGTATAGAAGAACAATGATCGTCTTTATTGTAATGCTTTTAAGGTTGTTGTTAGCTTGGACCTATATTCTTAGGGTATCTACTCACAAATAAAAATGGTACATATAATATAAAGGATGTACTTTTTGTGTATGGCGAACTGTAAGACTTTTTGTGGTTTAATAGCAAAATCTTTTAAACTATTTTGATATTACATTAACATTGTTTTCTACAGTAAAAATGTCGAATATTTCATACATCTACATTAACTGGATGGAAAAGTAATGAACAACGTAAATATTGTTATTAAAGTGCAAAATTTTTGTGCGAACACCTTTGGCTATTTTGAGTTGTACGTATCCCGAAATGTGAACACGCTTTATGTGTCTTAAAGTATTTAAAAATTATTTTGAAAAAGATTCTGTATTGTGCATTATTTTTTGAAATTTAATACGTTTATATCTATGAGTATAATTACATATAAAATATAATTCAAATAATGATTAGGAAGTTCCCATCACTGCCTACATGGAGAAAATCAACGCTTCCCACTACATGTGAAAGTTTCTGAGAATGTATGGATGTATAAATATTTAATAACGCATAAGATAGTGTTGAAGAGTTTGTTTGTTTTATTAAATGGCGCAGTCGCTAAGTAACTGACTGCTGTGCAACATTTAGTTTCGATTATATTTATTATTATTCGCATATATTATACATAAGAAAAATAAAAAGAAAGTTTTAAGCCGCACGCACGACACAGGAGAATATCCTAGTGTGTGGTAAAGTTTTTTTAAAAACGGTCTATTTTGGAGCGAACACTGCGAGCTATCACGCGTCATACACATCATCACATCAATACTTTAAGACACATAAATAATGTTCTACAAAAATGTGAGAACTAAGTCACAAGTCGTTTTCTGACAGTACGTGCGATGGTAACTGGGTCTAAGGCGCTGTCTGTAACCAAGCTCGGAGGCCACGAGCCCGTTCTGCGACACCGCCGTCTGAATTATCTTGTAACACTGCTTCTGGCTGTAGAAGAAAAATATGATAATGTAAAAGCTGAATTATACAAAGTTATTTTTATATCTAGCTAGAAGAAAAACTGAACGAAATATCTGCTGGTGAAACGCTCTACTTGTCTTAGTTTCAAGTCACAAGGGACTCTTATTCATAAGCTTCATTCACGCGGGTTTTTTTATGTAATAGCTCGGCAAACAAGCAGACGGA